AAAAAATCCCAACAAAGTCTGGCTGCTTGGAAGCAAAACATGAGAAATAAGGAATGACTTGAGACTTTTGCAGAGTACTGTAGGTGGAAAATCTTTTCCATTTCTTCTGCTATAATCCAGTGGTGTGCCTAAACCAAACAGATACAAGTCTAACCCGCCTGTTTGTTCTCTGTGTGTATGTCCTCTATGTGCCTTTACCAGTTGTACGCCTTGAGGAGCGCTCCAGGCCAGAACAGGAAGGAGGTGACGAAAGCGAGCACGGGCACAACCAGGACACCTCCTGCCAGCATTATCATTTTGGCCACATTCAGCTCCATCGTTGCAGCCTCCTTTAAAAAAAAAAAACAGATCACAAACTGCACTCTCAGCTCAGTTTAACTGTAGATAATCAAGCAGAAACTGAATAATTTATTAGTCCCAGACGAAACTGTGTCCTCACAGTTGCTCCAAGACAGTAAGAAGAGTAACTACTAGAAGAGTAACTGTAACTTCGGTCGTTGCTGTGCTTTTTTTGGAAATCGAATTTCCCAGAGGAACCCACCCGAGGGATTAATAAAGTTCTATCTTATCTTATCTTATCTTATCTTAGTGTTATACTGTATAATAATAATAGAAACAGACGCTGAGTACTGCATCCAGAGTACTGAAGTGACAAAAGTCCAGTTAAATCACTCAGTCTTGCCTCAGTCAATGAAACATTTAGCTGTAAACAAACATATAGTCAGGGAAATGTGCTGGTTTATTTATGCCTTTACTCCAAAAAAAGACAAAGCCTAACTTAAGCTGATAAATAAAAAATATTCCCATAGCTTTCCAAAGTTATGGCATCACTTTTTTTTTACTTTTAGTGTAAAAGATCCATTTTTCCACTGCAGAAAGCAAAGGTGGGAAAGCATTTTAAGTGTAATTACATTGCTTATAATAATAAAAGCTTGTAATAAATGAAATTCAACTCACTAAAAATATAATACAAACTTCTTGTAGGTTCCCTTTAAATACATTTTAATTATACTTAAATGCTTTGGAAAAAAAAACTGGATGAAAGAGAGCAGGTAGAGCTGAGTGTAAAATATGAACCCAAAACTCAGTAATAGGAGTTGCCTGCTCAACCCAGTGAGCTAAACCACCATATGTTAGCTTGTTTCTTAGCTCTAATTATCAGGCACCTGCGTCCGTGGCTTCCACACAATATGTCATAAATGCAGCATTGAACCAGGCTTGATGGGTCAAATATGGCAACTCATGGTAACAGCAAATTGACACAGCAGTTGTTAATAGTTAACGTCGAGGTATTACTTCCATCTTTTATATACAGTCTATGATTTTGACATGAAATCGCAATTAATGCAAGTGCCACAAAATCAACAGGATACAACAGGATTACTTAACCCACTGAACAACGTCCAGCGCTGCAAGCCCAACCCAGAAAGACACTGAACCTTTGAAGCAGCTGCAAAGTTCACAGTTTCCGGAGAAAGCACCTGTAGGGGGAATGTGCTTAAAAAAATAAACTACTTCTACTCGTAATATACCATAGTAATACACAGTAATCGGGATTTGGAGGTTTGCTTTGATGTAGAAATCAGACCAAGTAAAAAAGTGCATTTGTTAGGAGTTTTTTTAAAGGTTAGAACCGGAAAATGAGTAAAACAAGTTTACATTGAGAAAAAAATGCGGAAGTTTCCTTTAACCGTAACGGTCACAGGCTTAAAGAGACAAACTTCTCTTTTTGAATATTTTGTTCACTGAGGGTTTGATGGTAGAACACCAGATGCAAAGGTTACATTAAAAACTCGTGTCCTTTTAACCTGCTGAAAACGTCACATCGGACATAACGCGGACACCTCAGGCTGAGTACTATAGCGCTTTATCTACACCTGCAGGGTCAGCGGCGCCCTACCTGTCAGGGTCCTCTTCGAGCTGTCAGTGCCGGCTGTCCTCCATTCAGTCCGCTGCTCTTCCTCCTCTTTCACCTAAATTACATAACAGCCTTTCATCCGCACTTAAAGGGATACTGCAGAAGAAAAATGCTGTGCTGCATTCAGGTGCCGTCAGAAGCAGAGGATGTGTTTCTGTCCAGTGTTTTGTGGCTCGGAGGGCTGGCAGCTCCCCAGTTTCAGACTGGGAGGAGACAAAAAGCCTCGGAGGGTTGCATAAGAAAGGTCATTGGCTAAAAATCTGTGACCAACCAAATGTGCTGATGATCCTGCTGTGGTGAGAAAGGAGCAGCTGAAAAAAGATTTAAATAGTGGTCTGAACTGATTGGAGCTCAAGTGGAAAAACACAATGTCAGGATTTAGCAACATATTTGTCACTGCTTGTGTGTAAATGCTAGAAAACGTTCTCCTTCTTTCTTCTTTTGATCATCCAAGGGGCCTTGAACTTTTGCTGTTTTTTTTTTTGGCCAAAAACCTAATTTAAAGGCTGCCAGTCTTCGTGCATTTGCTAAATTATACACTGAAAAGCACTTTATAATAAAAGGAAAGAATATACTTAGGATCTAAATAAGAGGGTTTTAACAGTATGACAGTTGCTAATAATAATGAATTATAATAAAGCAGGAAGTAGTCTGTAATATTGTTTGAAATGTGAAAATAGCTGGAAAAGAGGGGAAAAGTTATAAACTTGTGATTATTTACAATAAAAAGACCTGCTGTGGTGATGACATCGACTTCTGAGCCGCAGAGTCTTCAAGCCAGTTATTATCATCATTTTAACTTTGTATTAAGAAACACTTAACTTGCATTAACTATTTTTGAACCAATCAGCACACAAACACCAGCACTTTCAGTCAGTCATTTAAGTTTGTTGGTTACTGTGAGTGTGAAAAGATCATCAACCTTCTGAATGAACAACTTTTACATTCCTAACAAACTCAAGGAAGCTTTCAATGCTCAACAAACTGATTTTCAGCCATATTAGGGATAATCATGTTGTATAATCTGTGTAGTCAGAGGCTGATATTACACAAAGATGAGCTTTTCTCCCTGCTTACAATGCACACTATTAAAGGCCATAAAACTCTGCAGATCAAATAAATTGTCTCACTTTGGGGCTAAAAATATCCCAATCTGTTTTTTCTTTCATGGTTCAGGAAGCAGCTGTCAGACGGTCAGCTGGGTGATGTAACTGCCTGGGAACGTCAGTCCAGAAACCACAGGAATACCTCACATTCCTGCAGGTAGTAGGTCAGCACACACACAGACACACACACACATATTAGTGGAGTTTTGTAATCCTCAGTGATTCTAATTTTTCTGCCTGCAGCTGGTTTATTTGAGAAAACTACCTGATTTGTTCTTGTGAAATTTTCATTTGCTATGTTTAATTTTTGATGATTAATCAATGTCTGTGTGTCATAGATTAAAATATAGTTTTGGTACAATGAAGAATATTAAATATTTGCTGTTGTAACAAGCAGTCACTGCCAGTCAGTGAAGAATAAGATGCTTTTAACAAATTATCTGTGTAAACATGCATCTAACCTTTATTCAGCCAGGGGGAAAGACTCCTGAGAAAAGAAATCTATTTACAACAGTGTCCTGGGCAAGAAAGATGCGGTAATGTAACGGTAAAGTAACGGTAATCTAATTACCGTTTTTGCAATAGTAATCCGTTACTTTACTTGTTACTTGAAAAAAGTAATTGGATTACAGTAACGGGTTACAAGTAACGTGGGATTGTTGAGTTTACCTCGTCAGTGGATTATTGTTGAAAAATCTTGCTTTGGAAAGGATTGCCTAACTAACTCGTTGTGTTTGCCTTTACTAGGAATTGGGAGTGGAGTGTGTTTCACGGGAGTGGAGCCACAGTTTGGAATTGGAGTTTGGAGATTGCTGTGTCCTGTGTTTGGGTCTCTTCCTTACCTAAAACCTGACAGAACTATCCAGCCAGTGATGGACCTCGAGCCCATGAGATATCGCTACAGGTGAACTTAGTGGAACGCCATGGAAAGATGTTACAACACATCACCAAAGAGTAGAGTGTACTCCTCCAGGTGGTAACGGAACTAAAAGTCATGTTGGTAACACCACCATCCTCACTATAATCGACTGGTTTTCCAAGGCCGCCCATTTTGTGGCATTGCCTGGATTGCCTACTGCCTTGGGAACCGCCAAACAACTCATCCAACATCTTTTCCAACTGCATGGTGTTCCTCAGGACATCGTCTCGGACAGGGGTCTACAATTCCCTTTCCAGTTGTGGAAGGAGTTTTGTTCTGAACTGAGGGGCCAAATCAGTTTGTCCTCTGATTTCCACCCCCAGACTAACAGCCAAGTGGAGAGGGCAAATCAGGAGCTGGAAGCCGTCCTTCGTTGTGTTGCCTTCTCTAACTAGTCCATGTGAAGTGATCAGCTGGCATGGGTCGAATACAGCCATAACTCCATCATGGAGGGTTAGTTGGCTGTGCCTTCCATTCAGTACTATGCACATCGCTCCTGCTGGTTGTAGCGGACCGCAAGGGCAGTTCTCCTCGAGACCATGGAGCGAAATAAGTGGCTGGACGATCACCGTTGTGTGTCGGCGGCGGCCTACCAAAGCAGACAAAAAGTTTGCCTCTTCTCCAGGTAAATTCCTTTGAGAACTGAGTCTAAGAAACTAGCTCCCTGGTTCCTTGGCCCCTTTGAAATCCAATCCATTCATAACCCAGTATCTGTCCTATTAACCATTCCTCGCAACATGAAGGCTGACAAAGTGTTCCATGTTTCTCAGGTGAAACCGGTTTGGACCAGCCTGTTGAGTTGTTTTAGTCCACTTAACTGAAATCAGGTTTGCTTGAGCATCAAGCTCATACTCCCAGCCTGTTTTATTTCGTGTTACTCAACCAGAATTAAGCAACATGGGTGCACCATAAAAACCAAATGTTTAAGTCCAACGGTCAGAAGGTCATCCCATTGTTGTTCAGGGGAGTGATAGAATATGCTTCATTTTTTAAATCCAACTGCTAGGAAGAAGCATACTGCTTTTGAAATTTAATAACCACAATACACAACAGGACACTTATTCATTTATTTTATTTAACTGAAAACAGCATTAAACATAGTGGGCTTTCACTTTTTCATCATATCTTTATAACTTTATTTACTTGATAAAGCATAATTTTTTTATATATAAATATTTGTTGCTCATTTATCCAGAGAAAGATTAACATCTTATTTTTCTGCAAAATTCAGAGGTGTAATGACTAACCGAGTTGGGCCAACAGCTTCCCTCAGCTTCCAGTTTTTGCACCATGCTAGGCTAAACACGTTAGCTATTACAATAGTACTACTACTACTACTACTACTACTGCTGCTATTGGAATCAGTGAGTGGAATTGGTATTTAGTATTGACAGTACTGTCTATTATTTATATGCTACATCAACTCAAGCAATACTGCTAGCAGTTAAATGATAAAATACATAAAGGCAAAATGTTAGCTAGTGCTACTCTGCTAGCTGGTTGTAGCCTACATGAAAAGAGAAAAACAAATCCCAAAAAAGAGAAATTTAGGATTTGGGTTTTATCTGTAAACTACTGTATGTCAGAGAGATTTTTCTGATATATTTCTGACTTTAATGTCACAAAATCCTATTTCCCGCTCATTGTTTTTTTAACCTTGAATGGACTTAAAATGCAGTTGCTGAATTTAACACATGGCCAACTAACTTTGCAGCTTTGACCTCCAGTAGTGTCCTCTCAGTTTAAACTAAAATTGTCACAAAAAATGTTTACATTTATAAAGTTTTCAAAATATATACGAAAAAGAGGGACTAATTATTAGGAACAGCATAAAGCAGCATTTAGCAGCAGCAGAAACTTAAATTTATAAGAGGTTAAATGATTATTGAGTTTGCAGTTTCTTGAAATCAAACACATTTAACACAACATGGAGAAAGAATAAAAATAACAAAAACATTACATATATAGTATTAGCAGATATTTAAATCAATACTAAAATCGTGATTATGAAAAACTTAACTAAAATCTGCTGTAGATTTTTTTTTTAATCCAGCTGTTTTTTTTTGTTTTTTTTACATTTTATTGTATTAATCAGTGCTACCTCTTTCCAGCCTTATGCCTGTCCAGTTTTTACAAGGCTTCAGTCCAAAACTAACAGGTAAAGTTAAAACCTGACCTAGTTAGATAAGTTAGTAAGTTAGATAACCCTTTGTTAATTTGGTATTAAGATAAAGTTAAGATCAAATTATTTCAACTGATCATTTTTTTTTTTTTCATTCAACTGCCAAGTTTTCTATAAATTACTGTCAGTTTAGGAAGTTTAAGCTGACTCCCGAAAGGCTGATTCTGTTCATCTGGACTTCAGTGGGAGAAACATTTTGTCACTCATCCAAGTGACTTCTAAGTGCGTTTTCAGTTTCTCCAACTGAAAACGCTACATCCAGATGAACAGAAACAACCTTCTGGGATTTATTTACCTGGCTGATTGAGCATGCATCAACACATTTAAAGATGACTGTTAAAGTAGAATATATTAAAAAAAACAAAAAAAACAGTTCCTTGTTACTTCGTATGAAAAACAAATATCATTTTTGCACAAAGGTGCAGACTCGTTTTTTCTGAGAAAATAAAACTTTAAGGGGTTCGAACACAGGCAGAAATGACTTTATAACAAAATAATTTTTCAGTGTAAACCTTCAAAAAAAACAAACTACAACAGTGTCGAGTAGGGCTGCTTCACACTGTTTTCACACACTGTTCTGCCCCTTGACCCTGTTTTAACGCTCCAATAGTTTAATGACTGCAGCAGTCTTACCCCGGCTGAATTACAAGGTCAACAACACAAAACACAAAAAAATATTTTTCAACACAAGCACATATTTTGAAATTATGAATATTTCACCCAGAGGAGAACAGTTTGTGCTAAGAAAAAAAATCCAGAGGAATCAACATCCATGATTTGAGACAATTTAAAATAATTACTGACCTCACCAGATGAAGTTTAACTAAAGACACATGACTCAAATCTGCAAAAAACACACCAACAAGTCTCTCATGAAAATGAGTGAGAATACAAAGTTTTCTCAAACAGGACAAGGTGGCATTTTATTTAGTTATTTACTTACTCATGTTAACTTCAACATTCTTCAGTTACTGGGTAGTTTCTTCATTTTTTTGCTGAAATTCAGCTCTGGGTTTTTGTAAGGTTGCAGGCTAAATGCAGAACATCTGTTTCCTGTTACTGTCAGTGCTATAAGTGCCAATACATCAACAAAATGTTTGCTGAAGTACTTAAAGCACTTTTGTATAAACCAAACAACTCCTTAAAAATTTGGAATACCAGTAATCTGAATAAGTCAGTTCACATCAATATCACCTGAAGTATTTCAAACTATAGTAAATCTGCTGCTGTGTTTTTGTAGGAAAGAAGATTTGCTAAACTATCAAGTGAACATATGACTTAAAGACTTTTAGCCCCAGTGCGTATTTAAACTATACCATTTTTTTCTTTTATATGAAAACAGATGCACTAATTTTATTGATTTGGTTTTAGATTTGTTGATTTATTTATTTATTTTAAACTTAAAATTGAACACCACATTTTGTAGTGACTCCTACACATGGTGACTCAGTGCTGACAGGGTGTATCCAGGGTTTGCCCGCATTTCCAGCAGCAGTAATGATGAGGATGCCATGCTTGTCCGTCCTTCGCCGTGAGAAAAGACTGGCTGAAAATCAGCTGGAGAAACGGAACAGGAGGGGGGATGAGAATGATGTGAGAGAGGACACAAAAAATAAAAAAACAAAAATATTATTCTGATAAAACAAATTATATCTGTGGTGTTGCGTAGAGTTGGTAGACTCATTTCCATTTTTATGCAGTCATTTATTCTCATCTGGGTTTAAAACTTTTAGTTCATTATTAAATCCACATAAGAATAAGCTATGTATATACGAAAATACTTTAAAGCTTTGTATTATTATCTACTATAACCTATAACAGGGCCTTTTATTGTTATTTACCATTTAAATAATTTGTAATAAATGTAATAAAAAAGGAGCTAAAACATATTTTTATTATTAACAAAACAGAAGAACTGTATACAGGCTGTCTGAAAAAAGATGCATTTTGAAACTATGACATCACCCATTGTTTTTAAAGTCTAGGCTTCTGTTGTGACTGTTGACATCTAACCTTTTTGAAACGGATGACATGACTGAAACCCCCCCCCCCCCAAAGATGCTGCAGACTCATGCATTAGCATCTAGCAGGTCACAAGGGAGGCTGGCACTCAAGCCTGTCTTACTTTATTCTCCTTATCACCATTTTAAACAAATGGCCCGGCATACTTTACTAAATTAATATCATGCACGTTTTATGATAGTTTAAAGTAGCACTTCAGTCCATCAGGAAAGTGTTTGCAGTGGTTGTGGATGGATGACACTGCCACAGAGCTGTCTTTTCATACTCAAATGCAAAGGCATAATAAAAGATGGACTTAGCGAAAAAGCCAAGAGCTTGCATTCTGTGTAATGGCCACCAGGGGGTGTTTGTAAAAAGACTTCTTGTACGATAGAAACCTGTGAGGAAAACAGCCTTTGTCCTGACCTCTGTGAAAGTCCTTCTAATGTGCTAGTGGGCTCAGTAACTCACTTTAGGTCATACTGAATAAAAAAATAAAGTCATTTTGTAAATTTGGTTCATTCTCAGAGTCAGAAAGAGGGATTATAAAGTGCATGCTCAAGCAAAAATCAAAGTTAAAGAGGTTTAAATGTGACAGCAGTTAGTATTTTATGGTAGTTCCTCTCACATGAACACCTTATTTACAGTGTGTGATAAACTAAATTATTGCTATGTGATGACTTAACAGTAGTATATGGTATTGTTTTGTTTCAGATTTTCTGATTTCATGAAGTTCAGACTGCAAACAGATCACCAACACTTACTGATCAGCAATAACTACAGGGAGTGAAGCCTCACCTCGTCGCAGCCCGAGCACCGTGGCCACTGTGTCTGACAATAGTGTCGTCCGCAGAACAGCTTCTGATTGGACCAGAAGTAGACCAGGTCAGCCAACATCTGGCTGCACTCTGAACATACAAAGCACTTGGGATGCCACAGGGCAGCGTGGTAACCTGCACGCTCTGCATATACTGCAGGACTGTCCTTGGTAACTTCACCTTGGCAGCCGGTGCAATGCTAGAGGACAGAAAACTGTGTGAGAGGTCAAGTACGAAATTAGTGAAACAAATGTAGAGTCTCCTGATCCACAAGAACTTTGGTTTAAATCAAAACAGAAAATTCCCTCCACAGGGAATCTAGAAGGATTTCTGGATCCCGATCAGTTTAAAAGATGACATAAATCTCCACCTCACTAATCAACCAATCACATGACTTCCCCAGGTAGAACAGGTAAATATACATCTGATCTCAGTTCTTTGAGCACACATGGTAGATGCAACTTTGGCACGATTTTGCCGTTGCAACACGTGAAAGTAAAAACAAGCATGCTGTTCTGTTCTCACTGAAATTTGATAGAAAAATAGAAATATTTTCAGTAGAAACACAGAAACAGGTTTTAATTAGAACTAGAGATGGCACAATACCACTTTTTTATGTCCGATACCGATATCATAAATTTGGATATCTGCCGATACCGATATGAATCCGATAGTGTTTTTTTAATCAACAAAACTGTTTTTTAAATATCTTGCTGCATTTTGTATAAGTTCATACTCAAGTTTAAAACAACAACTACACTAAAGCTATTCTGTTATACCTGTATGCAAAAGAGAATATTTCATAGTTCAGCAATACTGATCAATCTAATAAACTTAAACCTACACCATCCTCCCTATTCTGGTATTTTAAAGAGTACTTAGCATAAATATTAAGCAACCTAACTAATAGGGTTCCAACTCCCAGCAACAACAAAAATAAATAAAAAATAGGGAACCACCCCTCACGCGCCACCTCATGATGCTTAATCGACGTAATCAACCTTAATTTGATGCAGTGTGAAAAAAAATGCACAGAAATCAATTATTTTTCAAGAAATATTAAATAGATTCAACAGCTTTCTTCAACAAAATTGCAGACTGCACAGATGGTACCTTCCCAAAGGAAAAAGTACTATAGCTTACTAGGGTATATATATTAGACTTAATAGTTACTATATACAGTAATTGACTTCTATTCATTTTACATCAAATTAAAACTTTGGGTGTCAGATAATTAATTATTAAAAACAAGACATTTTAAATGAGAATAAGAAAGAAAAGTATGTCTTTGTGCCCCCTTTTCCCTGTTAATGCCCTATTGGCCCCCCTGGCTAAACTTTGCTAGATCCGCCCCTGCACAGTTACCAGCGTCAGCTACGTAGAAAAAGATCCTGGAGTAGAAAGTAATATTAAATACATTCTAACAACAGCTGATCAAGCTTAAATGTGCTGCTGTTGTTCAGCCGCTGGTTTCCTCTTTCTGGTGCAAAGTGGGCCAAAAGCAAACAAGAGACACGGACTCGCGACAGAAAAGCCGATCAGCTGATCATTGATCAGTTTCATGATTGAAGTAGCAGCAAGAAGAGGCAGTCGCTTGTTAAGCTTAACGCAGGAATGCTTTACAAACATTCAGAGATGGACTTACACACTTGCTTTACTTCTCTCGGGGATAACTTTGTCGGAGATGAAATGCCGGGTAGCTAGCGAAGCTCCACATGCTATCCAGACCACCAACAGGTCCTGCATGCCACAGCTGCTCTATCACGTGATGCATACTGCTCCGACGTGCTAACGTTCTGAGGTGAGTTACCGTGTGTTGCAAGTTTTCTGAGGTGCTTTCGTGATATTTAATGGATCGGATTACATTTTTTATTTTTCTCCGATATCCGATCCAGTAATTTAGGTCAGTATCGGACCGATACCGATACGTAATATCGGATCGGTCCATCTCTAATTAGAACCAGTATTGCAAACAAGACTACAAATCTTTCTTTAGTGAAATAAAGGGAGCAATAGTCGACCAAAGAGTCCCAAAAATAGGCATAACTGGGCAGCGTTGGCAACATTAAGTGTTTCAAGTCAAACTAAAACCACATTTAGTCATCCAATTTTGTAGTTTTTTGTTGTTACAAGAAAGAAGAGCTGGCTGGAGGAACACGGTGAAGTTAGTGTTTGATTGAAAGGGGGCGTGATGCCCCTGTGCTGTTGTTACACCACACTGAAACAAAGCAAACAAACTTGCCCTACATGTCATGAGCAGACAGCATGTTAGCGGTACTGATCGTGAAATAAGACCTGAGAAGTTGGATAAGGAGACTTCAGCAGGCTGTTGTGCAGAGTCTGTCTGTGAGCTCAGTAACACTTTCTGCTCTTACTGTTGTTGTGACTGTATTTGATTGGTTTGATGTGAATTCGATTTCCTATGTACAATTAAAAGGTTGTATCATGAAACAAAAAAAACCCTAATCATTAATCGAAGCTTTCTCTCTTTTCCTTCGTATTGACAGATCTGCAGCTGGTAACAGCTGGTGATTAAAGCATCCAGGGTCATACACCCACTTACATATTCAGTCTTGTTGTTGTATTCTGTCCCATTTGTGGGGGAGGCGACACTGCTGTTAGATGAACCGTGATCCTGATGCTGAGGAGCATCCTTCTTATTGCTGCTGCTGTGTTCCTTCACCTCCTTTGCTGTCCTCTGAATGGCTGCTTCCCTCAAAGCTTCACCCTCACCGGGTAAGGCCACCTCTCCTACTCCCAGCACTTCCTGTTTGTACTGCTTCACAAACAGCAGCATGGAGGAAATCTGCAGGAAGAATGACTCCATCATGAAAGTGATTAGCCAACTTTTAATCTTTTGATTATAGGTGGAATGATTACATACTGCTCAGGTTATTGATAATCATGTGTGTTGAACTAGTCACGGCAGAGTAATTTACCTCCTCCTCACTGGCCAGGCTCTGACACTTCATGGGGTCCTGATCGTAGGCGGGGAGCTGGATGAGGAGCTGCCTGCGTCGCTCCAGCGCTCCAACAGTCCCTGAGACTGGCCTCTGACTCTCTGGGAGGAGCTCCATGTACTGCATGGCCTTCAACAGATGATGCAGTTTTCACAAATTCAATCTCTCGATCTTTTCCCACTGCTGAAACCTGAACTTATCTAACACATTTTAAGCCGTCATCGGACTCTCCCGATGTCGTCACTGACACATCTGTGGGTTGTCAGATTACTTCACCAGAGTGAAGCAGTGACTAAAAGTGTGGTAGTGGGTTGGAAAACGCAAACAAACAAAAAGTGAGGGATGAACCAAACGAGATGTTCAAGGTTTTTAGAGGCACATCTGGAAAACAGTCCCCCAGTTGGATTTGGATCTGCCTCTACAAGTTCAACCGCAGTAACGTCTGTCATCTTCATAATTATAGGCTGGGAAGCCTGAAACATACTTGAGTCAGGTTTTAATGGGACAGTTCATATTCTTCATACAGGAAGAGCAGCACCAACTGAGGTAAATCTGAACTAAAGTGTCCTGAGTGAATAAATAAAGGAAGAAGTTTGAGTTGTTAACTTGATGAAAATAAAATGTAATTTCATGCATGAATTTTTCTTGAGTTTTCAGGGTCCTGGATTGGTGACCCAGTGTTTGTGTTTTTAATTTAAGTTTTACTCTTTGAATTATGGTTTTCTGTCGTATTATATCCATTGTTCCTGGTTTCTAGGGTTCTGTTTCTGCACCTTGCCTCGTGTTTCCATGTCTCAGTATCTAGTCTGCATCACCATGAATGTCTTGTGCTTCCTGTTTTATTGTGATAATCCCGTTCAGTGTGTTGAGTGGCATGGATGGCTCAGTAGGTAAAGTGGTTGCCCCATGATTAGAAAGTCGGGGACTCAAATCCACTGAACGGCTACCCTGAAGTACCCCTGAACAAGGTACCGTCCCTACACACTGCTCCCTAGGCGCTCGTGTCTGCCCACTGGGTGAATGGGGCAGCCCATAGGAGTAATTAGTCCCTATGGGGACATACACATTATTATTATGAGTTTTGCTTCTCTGTGTCCTGTTATGTCAGATTCGTCCCAGCTGTGTTCCCGATCCTCTCATTGTCCTACTTGTGTATTTAAGCTCTGCGTCTTCCTTGTTCTTTGCTGGTTCATCTGTACGTCTTCCCGTTCTTCATCCCCTACATTTCATCTGTGGTGTTTCCATGTCTCCGTTTCCTCATTCCCAGTTTCAGGTTTGTTCATATTACTACTACAGCTGTTTGATGGGGTATTTCTTTGGCTATTTGCATTGTCCATTTATTCCAGAGCTGTGCTTGAACAGGTAGCTGGAAGCAAGAGCTGTATGCAACAGCTGAGCTAAATAATATCGCTAAAATGGAGCTCTTTACCGTGTTTGTGGTTTTGGTCCTGTTAGGTTATTTTAATGTATCTATCTGAAAAATATCCTGTGGTATCCAAAATCCATCCACTATTTTTAAATGAAAGAATGAAAGAAAAAGAATCAGCAGCAGTCTCCTGCACTCCACAGTGAATCCTACCAGTTTCTGGTTGAGGCCGGCAGGAGCCCAGTCATATGTGGTGGTGTTGAAGGTCGGGTCTTTGCGTGACACCACCGGATTGGTGACAATCATTCGGTTTCTCTTGTACATGCGAAGGCCACCACCTCCTTTAATCTTCGCTGTCAAATGGGAGCAGGGCGAGTCTGCGAGCAGGCGTCCTATTCGCTGGTCGTCTTCAAGGTCATTTCCAGGAGCGTGGTCGACCGTGCTGCAGCCACACACTGTGCAGGCTTTTCTGGATAGAAGAAACACCAAAAAGGATAAGCGACAATTTAAATCCGTTCTTGTCATTTTAAGTTTTTGTTTTGTTTTTTGGCCAAATATTACTCTCTTTGGCTTGCTCAAATAAAAGCCGTTTGAATGCAAGACAAGAACATTTAACTTGTGTTTTTCCAGCTTGCCTGGTTATTTCTTCCATGTAGTCTGAAAACTTGGGAGTCTGGGCATGTGGTTTGACAGCCTACACCCATCTGGTGTTCAGTCACAAACATATTTAATATTTTTCTTCAAAAGGAATGAATGTGTAAGTAGTGAGGGAGCAGTGGTGAGACCACTAAAATTTTACATTTCCTGTACAGGAAAAAAAATGAATTAAAAAAGGGGGGAACTGTACCTCCAAGTATGTGGCTGAAAACCAGAGCAGCTCTCCTTACATATGAGACAGATTGCTGCACGTCCTCCTCCTCCTGCACCTCCTGCAGTCTGCTTTATAGACATCTAAAGAGAGCACAACACATCACAACAGATAAAGGGCTGCACAATTAAGGCTGCACTTCTAGTCAAAGCATAGCATTACGATCTCGTGAGGTATATCTGTAATTTAAATATACTCATCATGGACATGGATGTCATGGTAATTATGCACATTTAATGATTTCTTTGAACTGTTCTTTCTCTAGGCTGGAATGACTGTACAGCACACACCTTTAATAACTTAAAAAGAAAACAAAAAAGAACTGAATGCACATGTTTGAAGTTAATTTAGATTTTTTTCTAATCTCAATTGAGTCAAAAGTATGTACATAGACTCAAATATCAAATATAACTATGGTTGACCACTTTACCTGGAATAACCGCATTCAGAGTTCATTTAAATATGTTGGTTTCTTGGCATGGACCTGGCTTTAAAAGCATAATCTACAAATTTTCAACAGGGTTAAGTTTTTGGGAAAATCATTAGGCAGAAGAGAACGGATGGATGGATTACTCAATCTATAAAAGGGTTTATGTTTTGAAGGGAGGAAGGTTCAGGGCTGAAGCAATCAGCTTCATGGGCTCATCCGGTTAGAATAAAAGCAGCCATCTAATGCAGAATTATTTTCAGGGTACTCCTTTTATTCTCAAATAAATAAGGCAAAAAAGGAAGGAAACAAAGACACACATGGACTGCCAATGCTGAAAGAAAACAGATTCAAGTTACTCATTACCTTAACATTACATAAAATAAAAACCCAAACAGAACCTCACCTCAGCTGCCGCCCCGTGTGGAAGTGAGGAAAGAGTGAGCCAAAAGTGAATGCAGTCCTTATGTACTGTGTGACATATAATGTGTGACAGGTGAGTGCAATCAAGGACAAGCACCACACCCAATCAAAGGTGAGAGAACTAAACAAGGTGCATCTGGTGAAGTGAGTGGGTGTGCTGGGATGTGCTAAAAGGTGGGTCTCTACAACAGTTTACAAATTAAATGGAAGGATGGATGGATGAACGAGTTTTCTCCCACTAAAGTCTAACGGACACTAAATGACATCGAGGGGAACTATTTTTCAACCACGACTAGAAGTCAATAAAAATCTTCCAGCTGGTGCTGAACAAATTTTGGTTATTAGTCACTTTTAATAGTGATGGGCAGATGAAGCCCCATGAAGCACTGGAGCTTTTCATCCAATTGGTTCACCCCAACGCGAAGCTTCATGAAGCTTCATTTGCTCTAGCAGGACACCTACTGGACGTAAAAATAATAGCTGGCATGAATTTGAAGAGTGTGGCATTTTGCACACAGCCTGTAAATGTCAACAACAAAAGGAGTGTGTAAAACATGTATATTGTAGTGATGGCAGTATACTGTGTATATTTATGCTGGCAGTATGGAAAATGATTATTTGCGGCAAAGTTCGAACCGCTTCATGAACCAGTCACGTGGTACAGCCGGGCAGCGAGGCTTCGGACGTCATCATTTTCAGCTCCTCCCATAAATGAAGCAAGCCTCGATACGCGCTTCGCGGAAACGCCCCCTCCATTACTCGACACACGCTCCGAAGCCTCGATACAGAACGTCCCATCACTACTTTTAATAGTTTACTTGTCTGAATAACAGTAGGTCCTTGTTTTTTCTTTAATATGTAACACTCACTTTAAACAGATATGCTCATCTATGTACTATAGGGAGTGCAGAATTATTAGGCAAGTTGTATTTTTGAGGAATAAATTTATTATTGAACAACAACCATGTTCTCAATGAACCCAAAAAACTCATTAATATCAAAGCTGAATGTTTTTGGAAGTAGTTTTTAGTTTGTTTTTAGTTTTAGCTATTTTAGGGGGATATCTGTGCGTGCAGGTGACTATTACTGTGCATAATTATTAGGCAACTTAACAAAAACCAAATATATACCCATTTCAATTATTTATTTTTACCAGTGAAACCAATATAACATCTCCACATTCACAAATATACATTTCTGACATTCAAAAACAAAACAAAAACAAATCAGCGACCAATATAGCCACCTTTCTTTGCAAGGACACTCAAAAGCCTGCCATCCATGGATTCTGTCAGTGTTTTGATCTGTTCACCATCAACATGATGGAGCATTGTCCTGCATGAAAATCATGTTTTTCTTGAAGGATGCAGACTTCTTCCTGTACCACTGCTTGAAGAAGGTGTCTTCCAGAAACTGGCAGTAGGACTGGGAGTTGAGCTTGACTCCATCCTCAACCCGAAAAGGCCCCACAAGCTCATCTTTGATGATACCAGCCCAAACCAGTACTCCACCTCCACCTTGCTGGCGTCTGAGTCGGACTGGAGCTCTCTGCCCTTTACCAATCCAGCCACGGGCCCATCCATCTGGCCCATCAAGACTCACTCTCATTTCATCAGTCCATAAAACCTTAGAAAAACCAGTCTTGAGATATTTCTTGGCCCAGTCTTGACGTTTCAGCTTGTGTGTCTTGTTCAGTGGTGGTCGTCTTTCAGCCTTTCTTACCTTGGCCATGTCTCTGAGTATTGCACACCTTGTGCTTTTGGGCACTCCAGTGATGTTGCAGCTCTGAAATATGGCCAAACTGGTGGCAAGTGGCATCTTGGCAGCTGCACGCTTGACTGTTCTCAGTTCATGGGCAGTTATTTTGCGCCTTGGTTTTTCCACACGCTTCTTGCGACCCTGTTGACTATTTTGAATGAAACGCTTGATTGTTCGATGATCACGCTTCAGAAGCTTTGCAATTTTGAGACTGCTGCATCCCTCTGCAAGATATCTCACTATTTTTGACTTTTCTGAGCCTGTCAAGTCCTTCTTTTGACCCATTTTGCCAAAGGAAAGGAAGTTGCCTAATAATTATGCACACCTGATATAGGGTGTTGATGTCATTAGACCACACCCCTTCTCATTACAGAGATGCACATCACCTAATATGCTTAATTGGTAGTAGGCTTTCGAGCCTATACAGCTTGGAGTAAGACAACATGCATGAAGAGGATGATGTGGACAAAATACTCATTTGCCTAATAATTCTGCACTCCCTGTATGTTTGGAAATTAGCCTCGCTTTATACACATTAAGACTTTTTAAGACTTCTACAGCTGCCATCACTATACAAATAAGCTGCACAAATGAATGTAAACCATTGGAAAGTATTGGTATTGTGCCATTGTGTGTTATTCGCCCTGAGTATAACTGGCTTGAAACACAGATAGCTCAACCAGCTCTGCAGGTAGTCAGTTTTCCAAATACACATATTTTAATTTGCTGATGGCATTTTTTTTCAATTGTAAGTACATGTCTCATGTGATTCTTCATTTTCTTCTTTACTCTTTTTTTTACAATAATGTAAGTGAATGCCTGATTGACAAAATAATCATAACTAGGTTTTTCTGTAATGTTTAGCCCACTTCCTCTGCTAATGAGGACTGTTAGATGTGGAAAGTATGTGAGTCCTGACTGAAGAAAGAAATGCAAACAAAAAGTCCAAGTCATTAGAGACTCGTGTCACGCAGAGAAGACAGATGAGATACGGGGAATTAGACAACATTTCCAGACAGTTTGACTGTGGTGATGATGAGTACGATGATGGTGTGTGAGGAAGCACTGGGCGAGACAGAAGACGTGTTTTGTTTTTTTCCCCAAACATTTCTCAGTGGGTGTGGGAGGAAGAAAAGGGAGTGAACACCACACACACACACACACACACACACACACACACACACACACACACACACACACACACACACACACACACACACACACACACACACACACACACACACACACAGGATGGATGATCTCATCGTACCACCCAGTGACTTCATCGTCACTGTCCTGACAAACACAGCAGATTCCCCCCTTTGCGGCTCTTTATCCTGTTTACTCTGTTAGCATTGCGTACATTAGTTACAATGAAAACACATTTTTTTGGACTTGTTAAGGTTACTTGATTAGTTTTCTGGAGAAATTTAAAAGAGAACAAAGTTTGTGCGTCTATCATGACTTAAAACAACCACCTGTTATAGTGTGAGTAAACAAGAGGCAACTCACTAACTCGGTTCTCACGAGAATACAGAGAAACGGAGCTGAAGTGTTTCTGGATTCGCAGCTGGGAGGGTGCGGGAATTTGGGGCAAGTTTAGGTGGAGAACTGGCAAATTTAGCCCACTTTGACCAACCTTAGACTATGCGTGGTGACCTTCAGCTGTCCAGGATACAGTTACAGCACCGGGGCTTTGCCTAATGCAAGTATTTTATTCTGGCTTGCCAGAGTATTAAAAGAGCAAACTGTTTTGGCTTTCTGGCTTGTTAGGCATTTAGTTGTTATAGCAAACAGCTAGCTTTTATGTCACTACTGACAGCTAAACAAAGAGCAACATGTGAGTGATGGCAGACTGTTTCTAAAGGCTTTGGCAGGAAATCTGAAGACTGTGCTGCTGAAACAACCTGCTGCTATTTGTCTGGACTGTCCACCTATCCATCTGTCAGCAGGCATTAGCTCTCCCATCCCTCCTAAAAGGCATTCGCTCACGTAACATTGCTGAATACATGCAGAGACACACACATTCGAACAAGATATAGACATACAAACTAAAACCTCTGCTCCATTCAAGTTTTCCAGCCTTTTCTTTTAACCTTGCAGCAAGGTCATTTCTCTGTTTTTACTCCCATCCACACAGCTTAAGTGAGGATACAGGCGTCTTCCAACCAACAAAAAAAAAATGCTAAGAAGGAATTTGCCAAACAAAATGAAATTGGGTTAAAAAGTGAAAGATGATGACATTAAAAAGAAAAGAGGTTTCTTTGGGTTTAAATGTAGAAGGACACTTATCGTCTTTAAAAACCTTTGAACATCCATGAATCTCTGAAGCTCTGAGTTTTGGCATTAAAACGTTCATCTAACTCTAGGAAAGAAGGCAAACATGTTAGTAATAACAGGGTTCCTTTTCAGGCAGAGTGATGAATCTGATGCCACCAGCGAGGTGTAAAGACAGAGACGGAGAGTGTGTTTAAGTGTGTTTGACTGTGAAGCGACTGGTGATTGGTGCGTGTTGAAAAGGTCACAGCTGAAATAGAAACAGCTGAAGAAGAAAAAGACTTCATTAAATCCCCTTGGAGTACACTGACTGGCTCACTGTGTTTATTGTTGAGTAATGAGTGAACATCAGTCACCAGGAGGTCAGAGTGAAGCACCTCACTGAGGTTTGAGGTTTGAGTCGAACGCAGCTTTAATAAAGGGAAATTTCACCAAAGAAGGCAGTGTGATTTCTGTCTTCCTGTAGAAAGCCAGTTTGTCAGATGTTTGTTTGAAGAATTTTTACTAATGAGTCATAGTCAGAGCAGACGTTACTCAAAAGCTCCTTCAAAAAGAAAATAAACAAGCAGATCATGCAGTATTTTTCTTTTTGAATGGAGGTTTTTCTGTACTTCCAGAAATGCCTTTTTATGACTATTAACTTATTTTTAAGATATTTTCTCCACGTGCTTTGGAACAATTGACCGTATATGATCGGATTTGGGGAGTTTCCTTGCCATAGATGCAAAATGTTAATTTGATCATCTCCGAGCCACCTTTTGCCCTCAGATTGCACCTGGATCTTTGGAAAACTTTAGTCTTTGGGATGTTTTTAGTTTTGTTAGTCTTTAAGAAGCAGCTAGACAAGCAAAAGCCCACAAACTGGGAACAGCTTGGAGCACCAGTAAGACAGGAATGGGTGGCCATCAATCAGAATTTAAAAATACAGACTCTTTGCATACATTTGTCTTGTGGAATGCTTATGATTTTTTTCACTACATCATAGAAACATGTAAAAAATATGACGTAAATAAAAACTGAAGTGTATAAAACACAAGAAGTCACACACTTTACATTCGAAGCATGTTTCTCGTCTCACTTCTGTTTGTCCTTCTGTGCAGAATATGATGAGTGATGTGTGAACTGTGCACAGGATTCAACACTGTTTTATCACAGTGACTGAAGCTTCTCAGCACATCCACTGAGAGTAGTTTCTATGAATATACCTGCTCGTGAGTAGTAGAAAGCTTTCTTCTTTTCATTATCTATTGTTACTTTTCAGCTTTTATTTGCTGTTTTGTTAGGTCTTGGAGAACCATATTCAATTTCAAGAATGTTAACTGCACTTAGAGAACATGTCTGGCATTAGGACTTGAAGGCTAATGTCTCACGTTTCATGTAAAAACACCAAGAAACTCGATAATAATACAAAACCGAAGATCATCATAAAAACAACACCAAGTGAGATCCAGTATCACGGGAACTAAGATTCACACTATACTTGAAATAATAAAAGAATCAAAACAGGAAATCTCAAACTCAACTGGTCAAATCATCAAAAACTTCAATAGAACAGCAGCGAAGAGATAAACGAAAATAAACATAATAAACAAAAATCCAAAAGCTGCAGGGAACAAAATCAGGCGCCATGACACACTTCAACAATCTCATGTGCCTTAGAACAAGACAGACCAACAAATCTATCTCAACACAACACACAACACATACAAGCACAGTCTTTATCGGCAAAACAAACAGTACAGTAATTAGAATAAGTTTATTTTTTAACAAACCTCACTCTGCTGCAGGGCAAAGGGATCAAAGTGCAAATTTGAATCTAATAATAAAAGTCCTGATCCATTATAGAGTTAACACAGACCCAGACAATTTCTAACATTCACAATTATTACAGCTGATGACAGGAGGAAGCTGTAGCAACCAGACAAAACTGTTTTGTTTGAGCTACCATGAACCCTTAAATTACCGGCTTATTGAACATGTTATGAATTGTCTTCATTTACTTATATGCATATAAGCATGCATATATGCAGCATACTAACCTTTGTCTCCAGTTAGTTTGGACACCAGTCATACTGACTACATATTTTGGCAGCTTTATTCTTACCTCTGTTCATGACAACAAAAAATACTGAACAGTGTTATAAGCTGAGGAGAAAGCTTCCTTTTTCTGAGGAAAACGTGTGGCCGTTCTATATTTAGGAGTCAGATAAGGCGGGTATGTTGTAGGTGGGTACACTTGGCTGAGCTTCACGAGTAATGTCAAACACGTTGGCTATGTGAAGTGGAAACTACAGGAAATGCTGTGAGATAAGAGGCTGGAGGTCACAGAGGGGCAGCATCTTGACTTTGAATCAGAGCTTTGGCACATGGCATCCTCTGCATTTCCTGCTGCTCTCCATTTAAGACAAAATTGGACAAAAATGCCACGAGTGAGCTGCTGTTTCCAGCTGTGTCACAGTCTCCGGTTACTATTTAAGAGTAAACAGTGGCCTGAAGGAGGAAAAGGCTGGATAGGATAGTGGAGACCACAGGGAACTTTTATTTTTACCTGTAGTATACATATTTAAATCGGTTGCTGTTGGTGACTGTGTTTTGGGGATTTGTATCATTTAGTTTATAGTTTTGCAACATTTCCTGCTTTCAGCCATGAGATTGTGGATTCATCATTTTTATTTTTAAACTTTTACTGCAACAAAAGTGATCATTTTATGGCAACCTTTCTTTTTCTTTGTAACCTCAATATTCATAATATGAAGCTTTTTGGGGGGCCGGGGGGGGGGGGGGGGGGGGGGGAGTTAACAACATGTAACAAAAGAATAACGAGAGGGGTGCATGTATGGGGGCACACTGCAGGTTATTTCAATGCTGGTGATGGCGGTTTTTCCAGCTCGGGGGTATAAAGACAGGGCTCACGCCACAAACAGGTGACGCTGATCTGTCAGGTTATCATCCTTGGACTGATGTGACCTCTGGACAAACAGCCAGAGGCCGAATTACAGGAGGGATCTGTGGGAAACAAAGTGCCTCCAGCACAGACCCAGCAGGCAGATCAGGACCTCGTGGTCATGGATTACCTTCGCTGACTGAAATAGAAACCTCCAGCTGTTAGACTCAGACTGCAGAGAGATGTGTCCAAACTGACTTTAGCCTACAGCACTTATAAACATGACCAGAACTGATCACAGTGACTAAAGCTTGCAGAAAGCTCGACTCAAGCTGGACTTCTGTTTTTATTTGTTTGGAGGTTCTTCCTCATTGGGTCAGATCAGGACATCGGATGTAATAATGTAATCTGAAATCAGAAATCAAATTGCTGTAAAGTGTGTTAAGTGTGTGTAAGCTCAAAGTGTGTACGTGGCCCATTATTCATTTAAAGTTAGAGGGTGCCATCACTGAGTTCAGCATTACAAAACTGAGTGCAGTGTGGTTGTGTTAGATTCACTAATGCTGCTTTCCAGCTTACTATGATCACAATTACTATTATTACTATGATTACTATTATTAAAATGTTTTCAGCTTCTACAAGAGTCACTTTGCATGACACAGAGCTCAGAATAATCCTTATTTATATCACACTATCTTATTCTCTCTTATTCATTACCTGTCCATCTCCTTTTAAACCATCAAACTCATTTCTCTGTTTTTCTGCATGATAAAGAAACACTGCTGTATTAAATGAAAGAAATCTGCCAGAATTTAATTGCAGTAAATTGTAAGAAATAAATGTGTAAAATTACAGAGAAAGCTCTGGTAGCTCAGACTGTCCTGTAATTATAAGAAACGTCTTAAAAATCAATTGCTTAATTACTCTTGGTGTAGTATGAATGGCAGAGGAGGAGGTTTTTATCAGCAGGAAAAGCTGTAAAACGTATGAAAATACAGTTAAAAGACTAAGTCTATGTCCTCTGTTATATTTTTCAAAGATGTGCTGAATTGGAATGTTTCCTGACTGGATTTTGGCCCCTGGGCCTCATGTTTGACATCCCTATTTTAAAGCAACTTTCTTCTGATTGGTTGCTCCTCAGGTATACCTGAGATGACCATATTAAGGACACCTGTCTTTATCTGATGTCATACAGATCCAAGTCTAGAATGAAACAGTCTGAAGTCTCGGCTTTTGCTCACAGGAATTACTCACACGCACACTGACCTCATTATGTGAAACTTTGTGTTTAATGTGAGCATACACCACTGCAACTGCATATAATCACAGGAAAGAAATAAAAGCAGGATAGGTTACCTTTAAATGAACATCATACAACTCAGATGACACTTGATTTTCTGTATAGCTAAATAAAATAAAACCTCTCTCAGACAAAAATTCGTGATCTTGAACACTGATGAATGAATGTTGAAGAAATGTGAGATTCTTCTGAGGCTTGAATGTAAAACATCCACACTCATAGCTGACAGAGATTTCAAACCTCTAAATGTCAGGAAAGCTCACTTAGGCACATCACAGAGTTCCTTCTGACCTTACACTGATGTGATGTGCCACACCAGCAAGTGACCCTCTGACCCACTGACCTCCACATCTGGAAATATCTGTGAGCAACAATCTGTACTGATGCAGATGTTTTTACCTTCTCCATGGCTGAGTTCACGTCCATGTAGTCCAACGTCCGTCGGCGAGCTGTCTCCTTGGCTCCTCGACTCCGTCTGCCGCCGCTCTTCCAGAACAATGAGACTTTAAATTCCTCTCCCGTTGACCGCACTTCCTCACTCTCCGCCCACAGTCGGTTCTGCTGCCACTCTGCTCCGCCGGCCCTCCACAGCTCACAGCAATTTAACCGTCCACACCTTCATCAGCCCTCCTTTCTTTGTCCTCTGCTTTTACATTTCTCTCTTCTCTACACTCAGCAAGATTAAAACTGACCTTTCTCCTCTTCAGCTGTAAACTCCTGCTTTTACTTTTCCATTCAGCGTATTCCCCCCACTCTTCCCTCCTGATCTGTGTGGTTGCCAGCTCTGCTTCTCCACCCTCTGCAACATAAACTGAGCAGGTTTCTTCACCTCTTGATTTTGTTACAACACGCAAGGGGGGAAACTGGGTTGTTTTTTTGTTTGTTTTTTCCTGCAAAATTTCTAATCTTCCAGTTTTACAGTCTGCTAAGTGGGGAATTCACACTGCTGTGCTAAATTTTGCAGGCACTTGCAGTGTTGACTGTTCCAACCACAGCTGCATTGTCCCTAATCACAGCTGCTCTCTGCTGCAGAACAGCACACTGTTGGGACTAACTGGATCAGTGAGGCCTGACTGAACTGTTTGTGTTTTTAATCTCAGACAAAGACTGAGAGGGAGTCCCTGCTCACACTCCTCCAGCCAATCAGAGTCACCCTGTAAAACTTCTCAGCCAGTAGGAATGGCTGAATTTCCTCCTCCTCCTCCTCCTTTTCTGCATTTTCAGTGTGGCTCAGAAAAGCTTAGACCAAGGCATGAGCAACACACCTCAGGTTTGCAGGTCCAGACGAGGCCTAGTGGTGACTAACACGGCATGGCCGTGTTTTTGTTATGGCTTTGATTTCTTCAGGATTGGTCTTAGCGGGCTGTTGAAGGTCCTGTGAGTGCAGAACAACGGCTTCATAGCTGAAATGTTCTGGCGATCCCTCTGACTGTTGATGATCGTTTTCTCTCTCATCTTGTGCTTTTATTTTGTAGCTATTTGTGTCTATTAGAAATAGCTACAAAATAAAAGTCTATCTCTGCAGCTACACCTTCTTGTCTCTTTCTATGGCTTAAAGCACACAGCTTTGAATGAGCAAACTAACATTCAAATCAAGCTGATATGTTGGCCTGGTCTGAGCTCTTCAGTCTGTACATGTTAGTAACCCACCCTTTTTGACAGTAAAGTCATTCACTTGTTTAAATTTAAAAACCCAACGCCATTGCAGATAGGCCATTATCACACCTGTTTTGGTACTAAAGGGATATGTTTAGATCCTTTGAGGCACTTTATGTCTGTAATTGATTATGATGATGTGATTTATATGGATGCTTTGTCAGAATCCTTACTGATGCTAGATTCTGTCTATCATGGAGCACTGATTCAATATAAAGGCTTGTACTCTTCACTGTATGCTGTATGCTCAGGTTGAGCGGTCTTCTTTGTCATGTTATAGCCCTAGCCACTGAATTGTTGTTATTTATAAGGCTATTCACATAAAACAGCACACATTTGCTGCCTTCTTACTTACTGGCTTGCATTCATCAACTCAATTTATCAAATGAGCATTCAGCTTTGCAGCTCCTTGCTCCTGGGATCAGCTGCAGAATCAACTAAAATTTCAGGAACTGCCCTCACTAAATGAATTGAATTAATTAAACGAAGTCACTTCAGGCTGCAGATGTTTTCCTTGAATATGTTTAACTTTTTTTCTGGCATTATAGAATTACTTTTACTAAAGCATGTGTTTTTGTTATTATTTAAGTTTCTAAAGTTTGTTTGTTTCTGTGTTTCATTCTTGTCTCACATTCTTCGCATCTATACATACAAATTATTATTATTTTATCTTATTGATCCCTTATGTGTTGATTTAATTGATGTTACTTACGCACGTGAATATTTTTTGCAGTGCAAAACCATCCACAGGAGGGCAAAAGCCACTTTATTTTTACTGTAGTGAGGATACGAGGGAGGAAATAAAGCGGATTTGAACGCAGCCAAAAATTTCCCGGGAAACGATACGACGTAATAAACCCTGCCCCTCCATCGCGCTCAGACAAAAGATGCGTTCGCTTTATTCTGCGGCTCGACCCTAGTTGTTTTTATTAAGGTCATCACACAACAGGACGAGCGGTCGTTCTGCTCCTTGTCTTAAAGCGAACACACCGTGCTTTAAGTTCCCTCCTCTTTCAGGCAAATACACCAATGAGAAAGCAAAACCTCAGCCGTCTCTCTTGAATATTCATGATTTTTCGCGGGCTTTGAGTGTCACATGGTCCTTTCGCGCGAAAAGCGACTCACGGTAGGAAGAAGAATAAGTAGCTTTTGAAGCAGCAGCAAGACAGAAACGCAGCGATGGCGGTGAGTAAACTCATTAAAAACAGGCGCAGTGCTCTAATGGGAGGGCTCAGCTTGTAGGCAGAGGCGCATTAATCTATACGAAGCAGTTTTTACCAGTCAGCTTTAGTTTTTCTGGGAAGATAAACTTTGTTCATTCGTCGAGTCACAACAATGACAGAGAGCGTCATCAAGAGTTGATGTAGAGCTTCATTCTTTGCCAGATATCAGAATTAAAAATATACGTTATGAAGTTTTTAACTGCGCGTGTTTTGCTAAGAACCGTTTTTCACCTTCGTAGACTGGACCCAAAACCCGTTGTTGTTTTTTGTTCCTTCGCTGTAAAAAGGAGACCTGCCATGTGGTCAGTTAGCTTGTTTTTGCATCTGTAAACCGTCTCAAGTAACAACCGAGGAATAATAAAACTTTTTTGAATCTTTACACCCCTTGCATGAGTCCTTACATCTGGAATAATTGATTATAGTTTACTTACAAGCCATGTTGAGCTTTAAATGATTGGTTTCAATCAAGTAAAGAATCATTAAAAGATCATTAAAATACACTGTCCTGTAATACTTAAGCTATTAAATTACATTTTGCTTCTAATGTTGGCTCGCCACATTCTTAAGTGTAATAAACATGTCTTACAGTCCTACTTTTAAAGATCTATGGTCTTTAAGAAGTCACACAGCCCTATGAGTTTTTCTTCCCTTCTTAGATAAAACTAACTACTAAAAGTTACCAGTTAAAAAATATTTAAAAAAAAATTTCAAATTGATGTACATCAAAACTACTTGAAGACAATAATCCTTTGACAGCAGTGGCACAATGTACCAAATGTATTAAAATGTTCTGCCCTCATCACCATCTCTACCTACTGTCTTTCTTGCTGCTGCCGTCTACCGAAAACAAAATGCAAAAAAACCTGAATCTGCTAGAAGAAAAATAAAATAAAAACGCAGACTAAAATTAAATGCTGTATGTGAACAGTGGAAGCTGTAGACAATGTCAGGTTACTTTTGGCAGTAAAAATAAGAATAATTTATTTGTTCTGAATTCGTGTTGTTGACAGGATTCCTCAGAGTCATACCACATGGCCACCAGCCCCAGCCGAGCCTCCAGGAGGGGAGACCTGACCTCCAGCCCCGGACGAGACTTGCCGCCCTTCGAGGATGAGTCGGAGGGGCTGCTGGGAGATGGACCCTTGCCTGGGGAGGAGGAAGAAGATGGAGAGGAACTGATTGGAGATGGAATGGAGAGGTGAGCGTGGATTTAAAATGGCCTTAAAGCTATGAACTCTGTGGGGTTTTTTTTTTTTTTTTTTTTTTTTTTAGGGCTTCATAACAACTCTGTCTCTGTTCAGGGATTACCGTGCCATTCCGGAGCTGGATCAGTACGAGGCAGAGGGTTTGGACCTCGATGATGAGGAGCTGTCAGAGCTGTCGCCAGGAGCCCGAGCGGCCGCTGAGGAGGCCATGAGGAGGAGGGACAGGCAACAGGGAGCCAGGGGGCGCGTGAGGCCAGGATTGCTCTACGGTGAGGCTTGAGTGTGTGGATATTTGTCAGGGTGGTGATGGGTAGGCTATGATTAATTCTTTCATTTTGTTGGCTTCCAGACAGCGAAGATGAGGATGACGAGCGCCCGGCTGCTCGGCGAAGACGGCTGGCTGAGCGGGCAGCAGAAGGCGATGGCGAGGAAGAGGAAATGATTGAGAGCATTGAGAATCTGGAGGACATGAAGGTTTGTGATGACATTGGAGATGAGCTAGCACACAGAAGTTTTTCAGGTCCGGCTGTTTGGGACGTCTTTGTAACGTTTTCACATGCTCTGCAGGGCCACACAGTGAGGGAGTGGGTGTCCATGGCGGCACCGCGGCTGGAAATCTACAACCGCTTCAAGAACTTCCTGCGCACACACGTGGATGAAAACGGCCGCAACGTCTTCAAGGAGAAGATCAGCGACATGTGTAAAGGTATTGCAGTTTTCAGTAAACTTTAATGTGTGGAAAAATACAATTGTTGGCTGATTTTTGGCAATGTTTGAATGAATCAATCTGAACCTGTAATCCAGAGAACAAGGAGAGCCTGGTAGTAAACTACGAGGACCTCGCAGCCAGGGAGCACGTCCTGGCTTACTTCCTACCAGAAGCTCCAGCTGAGATGCTGAAGGTTAGTGAACTTGTCATCTTGCTTAATGTCCTTTACTGTGCCTTTTGTTCATGCATTTATATTTAACTTTAGCGGATATTAAATGCTGTGAAAGTTAAATGTGAGTGTCCTTCAATTATTTTCTCCGGTGCGTGTCTGATTGTTCTTTGCCAGATTTTTGATGAAGCTGCTAAAGAAGTTGTGCTTGCCATGTACCCAAAATATGATCGCATTGCCTACGAGATCCATGTCCGCATCTGCAACCTGCCTCTGGTCGAGGAGATCCGATCACTCAGGTAACACTTCAGTTTTTACCCAACAGGTATTTTCAACTTGAAGGAATAATTCACAGTAGTAATGAAACTAAGGCGAGACCTCCACATTAGTCTTGGCGAGGCACATCTGTGGCTCTTCCAAAAAGGGCCGTCTATATATATGAAGGAGCTACTTAGGTGAAGCTTTCTGCTCTTTACCAACTGTTTTCTTCTTCTGTTGTCCTCTTCAGGCAGCTCCACCTGAACCAGCTCATCCGGACCAGCGGCGTGGTGAGCAGCTGCACCGGCGTCCTGCCTCAGCTCGGCATGGTCAAGTACAACTGTAACAAGTGTAACTTCGTGCTAGGGCCCTTCTTCCAGTCCCAGA